ATACACATTTCAATCTGAGTTAATATGTTTACATTTTACTGGATGGTTTTTCCTATTACTGAAGTATTTTATATGACCACTGAGATTCGTCATGGGCTTTCCTTAAATAAAATGCTCCTATTCCTTTCATTAAATCTAAAATATCTGTCAATTTACCAAAGGCTAATGTAAACTAAACTTTTCAAGGACACATTTGTTATATAAAGCAGGCCACATCTGTACAAACTGTGAATGCACACGCATGTGCAGTAAAAGTGGGTATATTACTGTAGGAAACCTGAAGAGTAAAATAACAAGAAACTCTGTTTAGAGTTAAAATTATGTTATTAAGCAAAATACTGGGCCCATGGTAAGTATGCAATGAAAAATTCATGGACTGAATTATCACACTAAATTATAGGCTCTTCTAGGCGTAATCTTTAAAAGTAATTCTATCTTTGAAATTTATATTTATTTCACAAATCTACTCTATTTTATTCATCTAATCTATTTTAGTAATGATAGGATTATTTTATATCACTTGTTTTTATCAGATGGCAATATGTTCGGTATATTTAGATCTTACTTTATGTTGTGTGCTTTTTCCTTCAAAATGTTCTTTAGAAAAAAATTTTCAGCAGAAGCAGACACACTGTTCTAGGACATCCCTTCCTTTAGAGACGAATTTTCCAGCATAAGAAAAGATTGGCTTCCAAATTGGTTAAATTGCTTCTTCTGTACAGCGCAGTGACATGTTGTCTTGTAACAGTGGAATATGTGCTCTCTTTTCGAACGAGCTGTTCTGTGAAAAAGTTTTATTTAGCCCACAGAGCCAATCTCTGCATTTGTGAGTGTTACCTCCTTTCTGTATTACCAGGTTTTTTCATCATCTGTATTGCTTCTGCTCTGTCAGCTGTAACACAGTTTAGTAGCAACCCTTCTTAAAAAGCGAGATGTTTCTGAAAATAGACAGAACAGTTGGCTAGACAGAAAAGAGATATCAACAAAAGTAGGTCTGCTGTTCCTCTTTGTTTTGCCCCCTGAATCACTTCTGAGGCACGCAGTTTCACACATATGTAAACGAACAGGCATAGGGTGGGAATATAATCTAACATAATCTGTACGTCCCAACGCAAACTTTGACCCCATTTTATTAACGAAATCAAATTATATGAAAACTGATTCGGCTCAGAGATTTCTTAAATGTTTCACTTTTGTGCCAATTAAGGGGTTTAACTGAATGTATTGGCTGGGTTTGTTCACTTTTTTTTTTTCTGAGAGAACTTTGGGTTCCAGAAGTAAATGAATTCTTTAAATCTGTGCAAGATCAACAGACGGGTCCAGTTGTTTATTCATGGTTGATTGTAGAGCTGATTCAGCCGAGAGGAAGCAGCGGCTTGATTGTGTTTTTTTCCCTTTGTGCATCAACTAAAACAAAAATTAGGTCATGCAGTATTTATTCTCTGGGTAAAATGATTTTTTTCAACTGCTCAGACTTCCCATTAATTAGTGGGAAAGACCAATATGGAATAAAGGGACAAGCCCCTCTAATCACTTCTTTGTCAAGTAGAAACGATATGACATCCCTTTCAGAGCACAACTTAGAAGACACATGAAAATAGCCAACCCACCAGCTGGCCAGCATCCCGTGGTTGTCCACACTTGACAACGCTTGAGTCAAATGCCTATAAGAGTGCTTCTCTACAGAAATGGGGATCCTGAGGCTAATGATGTGTTCAGATGTCATCTCTGCTTCCTGATTTTACCTCTGTGTCTTGACTCTCCCTACAATGCCTATACATACACACATATAAATATTTTTTAAATTTTAAATGCCCATTTGTGTTGCTTTTGTGATATCTCTTTAATTAATCTTGGACAAATTGTCTTTATTTCTAAATCTTTTCCCATACAAATTAAACTAAGTTTTATCAAAGCAAGCTTTATCACTTCCTTTTTCTCTTCACTTATAATTCTAAAATCAAGTTTTTTTTGGGGGGGGGGAGGATTAGCCCTGAGCTAACATTTGCCACCAATCCTCCTTTTTTTGCTGAAGAAGATTGGCCCTGAGCTAACATCTGTGCCCATCATCCTATATTTATATGTGGGACCCTTGCTACAGCATGGCTTGATAAGCTGTGTGTAGATCTGCACCTGGGATCCAAACCAGTGAACCCTAGACCACCGAAGTGGAGTGCGTGAACTTAACTGCTAAATCACTGGGCTGGCCCCAAGAGCCAAGCTTTTTAATCTGGGTCTTTGAAGCAGACATGTATGAAAGGGCTGCAGGAGGCCGTGAACCACCTGAATATGTATACAGAATCATGTGTGTCTCCACATGTACTTTGTTCTGAGGAAAAGACCATGTCTTTCTTTTGATTCACAAGTGGGTGTATAACTCCCTAAATTTTAAGAACTACTGTCACCTGGATTTTCTCTCTCTCCCTTCTATTAGTTCAGAAATGCTAAATTTTATCACATGCAGCCCCTGGGTTCTATGGAATACAGTTGGCTACCACCTTCCTTTCCCATTATAATTCACTGCTGACTCCTTATTTTCTCTTACCTTTCTGAATTTTGTGCTTTCTCTGTTACCAATTTAAGTAACAGAAGAAAGAGAGAGAAAAGAGGTATTCTGTACTAAACCTCTACAGGTAATGGTGGTTGGCATTTTCTTCATGCGGCATTTCATTTAATCCCATTGCAACCCTACAAGTTAGATAGTATGCATGCCTATCTTCACAAATGAGAAACATGAAGCTCGAAGAAGTTGGTCATCCTTATAGCCGATAGATGGAAGAGTTGAGATCTCAATCTGTGTTTGAATCTAGAGTTTATTCCTTCGTGAAGCCTCTCCAGATGGAGTAAATGGTCGTAGCTTACTAAGGGCATCACTTTTTATAGTGTATAACTTATATTTTATTATTATTCTCTATCATCAAAAAGTACATTCATTATACTTTGTGCATAAATCTAGTACAGATGTACATGTTGCTATATTGCACCAGTGTTGTCACATTATCTCATACTATCACAGAAGGCAAGAACCATTTATACATTCATTAATTCATTCAGTTTTTAAAAATAACATTTATTAAATGCTTCTATTGTCAGTTGCTTTGCTAAATTCTATAAGAGTGGTCCTAAGCATTATCCTCACATTAGACTCTACTGCAGAACTTTTAAAAAATGCCAATACCTGGGCTTGGTACCAGGAATTTAATTCAGTAAATGGAGGTGGCACTTGGGCAGTGTATTTTTATTAATTTATTTTTTTATTATTTATTTATAATTTTTGCTGAGGAAGATTTGCCGTGAGCTAACATCTATTGCCAATCTTCCTCTTTTTACTTGAGGAAGATTCACTCTGAGCCAACGTTTGTGCCAATCTTCCTCTATTTTGTATGTGGGTCATTGCCCCAGCATGGCTGCCAACAAGTGGTGTGGGTCTACACCCAGGAACCAAACCCAGGATCTGAAGCAGAGTGCATAGAACTTAACTACTGGGCCATGGAGCCACCCCCTTGGGTGGTCTATTTTTAAAAAGCTTTCCCAGGGGCAGCCAGTATTGAGAACCATTGTTCTAGAGCAGTGGTTTTTCGAAGTGTGGTCCCCTCGATCTGCAGCATCAGCATCAGATGGGAACATATTATGAAGGCAAATTCTCAGCCCTTCCCCCAGCCTCCTCATGTACTGTACCAGAAACCCCAGGGATAGGACCTGGCTGTCTCTGTTTAACAAGCCTTCTTGATGTTTCTGAGCTACAGGTTGAGAAACACTTCTCTAGAGACAAAGGATGAACATGGCACAGTACTTGCCACTAAGAATTCCTCCCTGATCTCAAGGAATTCCCAGTTGTTTCAAATTTGTATTTTAATTACCTAGGACAGTTCCATAATTTGTAACTTTAGGTGATAATGACAATACTATTACTAGTTAAAAAGTGTAATACTTTTCATCTCTTCTTGGGCAGCCATTAAATGAAGTGTTTATAAGAAGGTAGTGATCGGTAGGGATGAAATAACATCCCTTAACATAAGTCTTATGAACCTTATGGTTGAGCTGAATTGTCAAAGTGTTTTGTAACACACACACACACACACACACACAAAGAATTTGAAAATATAGAATCTTAAAAGGCAAATATTTCCAATAAAGGGTTTTTAAGTGGTCTCGTGTTTTGTTTCCATTCTATTATTCCATTATTTTTAATATTTAGTTTCTATTTCCCATTTTGATTACTATAGCCTTTTTTTTACAGCTTTATGAGAGTATGATTGACATGCAAGAAACTGCACACATTTAAAGCATTTAATTCAATAAGTTTTGACACACACACATATATATATATATACCAGTAACATAAAACAGTTGTAGGAGGGCATCCAATTCTATTACAGGTACTTCTTAGTTACAGAATTTTCCCCCTCCACTCCTAAATGGCAGAATGAGCCTGCAGAGGAGGCTTTCTGAGAAAGTCGCATGACCTAAGACTTGTAAGGCAACTAGATATCATCCCAAGTGAATAAAATGGGGAAAGGTTTTACAGGATAGAAATAAAGCCCACCTCACCTGTGTGAAGTCTAGATTCTTGTGGTTGTTGCCATTTATCATCATGCAGGGCTTAAAAATACCTACTCGACCCTCTTATTTCTTAAAATTCTGATTGAGAAATGAGCTTAAGCACTAGTGAAATACACAACGCTGTTACTGAGAGTGGCTATCCAGGGCCCTATCTCCACAGGCAGTTTCTTGCATTAGGGTGGCCTTTTGAGCTGTGCCCACCAATCCTTTCTTGAAAGCATATTTCTCTGCTGTGTGTATCATACAGAATGTCTTGCATAAAAGTGATGCTTTTGCTTTTATAGCAGTGGAATCTAATTCCTTGCCTTTAATTTCCTTTTACGTTTCTCTCTTCTTTCTCCTGAGCAAATAATGGTGCTCATTTATCGTTACTCCCATGTACTAATGCTGGGACTTTACTTTTTGGGCTTAAATTCTCGTTCTTTCTTCCATTTCAGGTTGGCTCCATGAGCTGGGAAAGAGGCTGGAGTCTCCATACTATGGCAACAACACCTTGGGGGGCCCATCGATCCGAAGTGCCTATATTGCTGCTCTGTACTTCACCCTCAGCAGCCTCACCAGTGTTGGGTTTGGGAACGTCTCTGCTAATACAGATGCAGAAAAGATCTTCTCCATCTGCACCATGCTGATCGGTGGTAAGGGAAATTCTTCTGTTATACCAAGAGAAGGAAGCAGTCTGCCACTGCTGCTGTTCTGTTGGCTCTGTCCTAAAACCTAATAGAAATATATTGATTTACATCAGAAGACTCTAAAAAGCACTAATTAGGAAATGAGTGATATACATTTTAATATACAGTTTAGTAATGAAAGTCTGTGATGTCGAAAAATTCCACTTTCTAGAAGTAGCCATTTACCTGATGGTTGATTTTGAAAGGGCAGGCACTTGGTATTCCCAACACAATTGCAGGCATATGTTTGAAATTCCATTTTATAGTCCCAAACAGGTCAGTGTTATCTAATTTTATTAATACTAACGTAGTCAGTTAAGGATCTTTGATAGATCACTTAGTTAAAAATAAAAACAAAAACAAAAAACACCAATACAATAATAATAAATAGTTAACATTTATTAATTGCTTGTATGCTCCATCCTCTGTGCCAAATGCTTCAACACAATACCCTAAGTAATTCTTAAGGCAAATCTATGGGTTTGGCATTCTTACTATCCCATTTGACAAATGGAAAAATTATTGTATTAACGTCTCTGAGTTCCAAACTCACCTTCTGTATTCTGCTCTGCAATGCTGGGGTTTGGACTCTGCAAACCTCATTCTTTGCCAGCCGACTTCAGTTACTTCTGACAATAGGGGGCACCAGAGGGAAACTAGAAAGCAGGAGTTGCAGAGAAGGGACTGCCTGCCTCTCAAGTGTATGATGTACTCTAAGTGGCAGGCCACCTCAAGCAGCAACAAGCGGTTCAAGCGTTCAGCATCTTCGGGCGCTCCCAGAACCAGTCTCATTGGGCCTTCTTGGAGATTCCTGCATCAGTCGGGAGTGCCCTCACATCCAAAGTCAGAGCCCTGGTTCCCTGTGGCTCCTCACAGCTCCTCCTCTAGGCTTCTGTGTTCTGATAACTCCACTTCTTCCCTGTGTTTATCCCTCTGCAAGGGCAGAAGCTCCTCCCTCCCTGTACTTACTATATCCATGTTACTTCTATGCTCTCTTTTTGCTCATTCAGTCTTCCGACACCAGGGAAACCAATTCCCTATAGTAAATTCTCTTTGTTGAACTATTTAATTTCTTTTTTCTGAATCTCCTAACTTATCCAGGCCTGATACTATTATTGTCCACATTTTTCGGATGGAAAATCTCAAGCTTGGAGAAATAAAGTAATTTTCCCAATGCCATACAACCAGTAAGTAAAAGAGGCAAGGTTTGAACCCAAGTGAATACTTACTTCTATCTTTAAATACGTAAATGGAAACTCACTGAATTATAAAACTGCTATCATGGAGAATAGGTCGTGTGGATGTCTACCTGGATCAAGAAAGGATTCATATTAGACCAGAGTTCTTTTTTATTATTATTTTTTTTGAGGAAGATTAGCCCTGAGTTTAACATCTGCTGCCAATCCTCCTCTTTTTGCTGAGGAAGACTGGCCCTGAGCTAACATCCGTGCCTATCTTCCTCTACTTTATATGTAGGACACCTGCCACAGCATACCTTTCCAAGCGGTGCCATGTCCGCACCCGGGATCTGAACCAGCGAACCCCAGGCCCCCGAAGCGGAACATGCGCACTTAACTGCTGCGCCACGGGGTCGGCCTCTAGACCAGAGCTCTTAAACGAGGGTTCTATTAGTATTTTCCGCCCCACACTATTCCCCCAAAAGCCTGTTTTATCATCTTCTCTTCAAGGCCTTAATCTTAAATATCACTTAGAGTTTTGAACCTTAGAATAAGGGATGGTTCCTACCAGCTTCCTTGCATGGGAAATGGGAAATGCGTATGTGCGGCTTTGGGCAGTGAGTCATCCAGCCAGTGGAGAAATCAAAGAAATTTAAAGCCAAACCTGCCCTTAAGGACAGTTTGGAAGAGAGAGGCTGAAATATGTGGAAAGAGTTTTAACAACATCAGGCAGTAAATGTTAATTGCCAACTCAGTTAGGCAGTTCAGAAGCAGTGAGAAACAAGGGCCCGGGATCCGGAGAATTTCTTGGAAAAGCAGTGCTTGTGGCAGAGTTGCTGAAGCAGCATGCTGCGGCTGCAGCCATTGGAACAGACTCTAGGCTGATGAAGAGCAGTAACAGCCTAGGGAGCAAAGAACAGGAATTTTCATTTTCTGAAGAGCTACGATGTGCCAGACCCTGTGATGGCTGTTTTATACCCAGTGTTATGACTTATATAATTGGTGCTCTCCTCGATGGCCCATCTTTCAGTCTAGCAAAATGACAAGCATTTTGCAAATAAACACAGTCTATACTTATTTAATATTTGCCCATGTTTCTTCTATTCCTGTTGGAAATCTTGGGAAATGCTCAAGGCTTAACCTACTAATTTGACATTTGAAGAATCTTAGATAATTGTGTTTACTCTCTATTGGTCGACAGACTATACTGTGAGTGGTCTTGAATCAGAAATTGTTAAGGCATAAATAATTTTCTGCTGTTCACTGTAAGTAGAAGCAATGCTGGTCACAAAGCCAAAAGATGTGGCAAATAATCAGATAATGTCAATTTGTCACTTGTTAAATGTTTCTTGAGCAAATTATCCTGGTGCAAAATCAGTGCTCATTTGTAGGTGGCATTAAAGCATTTAGGTGACTTGAGTAGCACTTAGGAAACCACTGGTTTTGAATGCCAAATGCATCTAAGCAACTTGAATTTATTAGTTAGAGCTTCCCAAATTGGTGTTTGTGGAAAATGACTCTGATTGTGACAATTACTCTAGGTTAGGAGAAATGATGCCTTCATTTTAATATTTCCTAATTAACTAATTACTTGCATAACTTTGAGAACTAATCATAAGAGGTCACAATATTGAACACTTTGTTCGTTTAATTCTCATAACACCGTGAGATAGAGGTTATTAACACTCCAATTTAGACATAAGGCAGCAGAGATGTAGTGAGTTGAAAAGCCAGGATTCACTAAGACCTAGCAAACTTCTCATAAAATATCCATTTCATTATATACTGTAAATTGATTGTATTCACTTAATTTCTATAAATATGCACAACTAATTATTTTTAAAGACTCTAAATATATATTATCATGGACTCAAGTCTAAGGTGTTTTATTAGGAATCCTCACACAAGGCTGATGAATTGCGAATGACAGCGATGCAATATTTACTACAAAAGCAGGCAGTAGCAATATTAAATGTTGCAGGTGACTGCCAAAACCCCAGATAATTACCTAGGGCAGAGGCACTCACAGGCTGCGTGAGGAGGAAGGAAAAAGCAGAAGCTTCCATCTGAGCATCTGTAATTATAGGGTGTGCAAAACATTGATTTGTGAGAAGAAAATGTAAAACTATCAAATAGATTAAGCAAAAACAATGAGGAAAAGATCCACACCTAGACAAATCCATGTGAACTTTGAGAACACTCAAAACAAAAAGCAACCTTAAAAGCTACAGACAACTGTTAGAATTAGTAAGTGAATTTAGTTAGACTGATAGATACAAGGTCAATATGCAATACAGGAAAAATCAATTGTATTTCTATATGCTAGAAACAAACAATTAGAAAATGAAATATGAAAAATGCTTACAAAAGTATCAAGTATATAGGAATAAATCTTTAAAAATGTGCAATACTGCTACACAGAAAACTACAGAACATTAGTGAGAAAATTTACAAATGATTTAAAATAATGGAAGGATATAAAATGGTGATGTTTTTGAAGCTCAATATTTTAGAGACCAATTTTACCCAAATTAATCTAAAGATTCAATGCAATCTCAATAAAAATCCCAGTAGATGTGTGTTTGTTTAAAAAATGGCAGACTGTTTCTAAAACTTAGTGGAAATGCAGAACTAAAACTAGTTAAAGCAATCATAAAGAAGAAGAGAATTGGAAGAATTGTGCTATAGATATCAAGATTTATTATAAAGTTACAGTAATTAAGAAAATATAGTGTTGATTCGGGAACAGACAAGTAGGCCAATGGAATACAAGAGAATGCAGAAACAGGCCTGCACACATATGGTAACTTTACTTATGACATAGGTGACACTGCAATGCAAAGGGAGAAATGATGAGACTTTCAATAAATGTTGCTGGGTCAAATGTATATCCACATGTTGAAAAACAACCTTGACTCCTCTTAAAACTGTACATTAGGGGCCAGCCAGTGGTGTAGTGGTTAAGTTCCCACACCCTGCTTCAGCATCTCGAGGTTTGCAGGTTCAGATCCTGGGCATGGATCTATCAACTGCTCATCAACCCACGCTGTGCCAGCACCCCACATACAAAACAGAGGAAGATTGGCATATAGGTTAGCTGAGGGACAAGCTTCCTCAAGCAAAAAGAGGAGGATTGGCAACAGATGTTAGCTCAGGGCCAATCTTCCTCACAAAATAAAAAACAAAAAACTATACATTAAAATTAATTCAAGATGGATTTTGATCTAAATGTGAAAGAGAAAACAATAAAGCCCCCAAAAGATAATATAAGAGAATATTTTCATGACTTTGGATTTGGCAAGGTTTCTTTAAAATGATACAAAAAGCCTTAACCATAAAGGAAAGATTGATAAACTGAATGACAAAATTTCTATTTATCAAAAGACATTGTTAAGAATGTGAAGAGGCAAGCCACAGGATAGGAGAAGACATTTGCAAGCATTTACCTGATAAAAGACTTTTATCGATCACATGTAAAGAACTTTGATAAGTCAATAAGAAAAGAGTAGACAACCCAAAAATGTGTAAAAATTTAAAAAGTACTTCAAAAATAGATTTCTATACTTGAATAGACAATAAACATATAAATAGGTGCTCAACATCCTTCATCAAGGTTATGCAAATTAAGATCAAAACTTGATAGCATTTACATTCACCAGAATGCTATATGTAAAACCACTGACCACTCTGAGTTTGCGAGGATGTGGAACATCTTGACTTCTCCTGTACTGTTGATGGGTGCATCAACCAGTGCAACACTTTTGTCAATAGCTACCAAATCTGAATATA